CATCACACCCCCAACCAACAGTGGGTCCATCCCGCAAAGATAATAAGGGGAACAACTCAAAATAGCCGTCAATTAATTCCAACGATCCACAGGGGAAACTGACGAAGGTCCTGATGAAGGTCCCTGACTAGCAACGGTTCGGGTACACTGGCGGAACCACAGCACACATCTTTAGGAGATCTGTTTTTGCAATAAAATAAGCTCGATGGTCTTAATATTTTTTGTGGTTTTTTCCCCATTATAATTAATCATTTTTATTTGGTTTTCTTTATTTATTTATTGTCCCTCTCTTACTTTTCTGGGCCCTGCACAGGTTTTTGCCCAATTATCCGCATAATTATGCTTTGTAGAGGTGCCCCTGCAAAAGGTTTTAAGTTGTTCTATACTACTCCGGTATATTTACCTTACGAATTAGGAAACCTGCAGGAAAACCTAATTCGGAGTAGCCGGCCGAATGCTCGAAACTCATCTAAGGAAATTCCCATCTCTGCTACAGATGAAAAATTCACCTCAGCCCAGGTTCGAACACCCGACCTCCCGGCTATGTAACCCTACGCTGTACCACTGAGCCGCACGAAAGTTCTAAGGACATTTTGGGGGCGAACATAGCACCGGGAAGCCTGGGGGGTATTCCATAACATCAGAGGGTGATTTGACGACAACTATCATGGTAGTTTTCGGGAAAGTTGAGGGGTATTCCACATCTCCCAGACCCCCGGTGCTACCCTCTCACCCAAAAATATCTTCAGGGCAACTGCTATGGTTATTATTCCGTTGTAGAGAGCGTCATCAAATTTCTTTCCTAGGAGATCCATACACAGAGTGTTCTAAGGGCTTAATATTTTGGGAGACAGAAAGCATCAGTAGGGGGTCTGGGAAGAATGGAATACCCCTCATCAAAATGAGATTTGATGACAACTGTCATGGTAGTTTTCGGGAAAAAGGTAATTAGAGTATTTCTTCGGTGCACTGGGGGGATTCTATATCCCCCCCCAAAGGCCCAGAGCCCCGGTGATGCGTTCTCCTTCCAAAAATCGTTGGCAGATTCGCTTTTTTTACGACACGGAGTGTACCTGCGGTAGGATTATTCTTTCCCGCCTCTTCACGGGAAAAATTGTGAAGCGCACGATCATACTAAATGAAGAAACTTTTGTCCGTCCGTCCGGACTCACTTCTGCGGTTTTGAACTACTGTTAGTGGAATGGTCCTACAGCCTATACCTTGAAGGTGTGCCAGACGGCCATCAAATTTCGCTGTCTGAAGAGGGGGAGCTGAGATGCAGTTTTTGAAAGTAAAACGTGCATAACTTTCACATGCAACAACCCAAGTGGTCTCAAAATTTTCATACGCATCCTTTTAATAATGCCAACTAAAATTTGTAAAAATGGGGGGAGAGGGGAGTTCTACCCTTCATGGTACAGTATAATTGTATTTTCCATGGTATTATAATTAAAGGTATCAACAAAAGGAACTGTTTTTTACCAACCACCGCTCTACTTTCTGACTCCTTATCAAAAGAGGGGAAGGGAGTGGAACTGATTTTACCCTTTATGAAGACATGAAGACACCATGAAGAAGACTTTAAGTAGGAGGGAATGACGACTGAGAGGAGGCGCAAGGTATAAGGGAATCAGGTGCAAAAAGTGTCTTCAAAAAGAATTGAGTTTCCTTGGACTTTCTTCAAAATATTTCCTTTCATTGAAATTCGTTAGATAAAAAAACTCTTCGGACTACTACACTTTTTCAAATTCTTCTAATCCGCAATTCTAAAGATTTTTCGATTTATGGAATTGTTCTAATTTTTCACATTCTTTGTTTCCTTGAAATTTTTTGTATCTTTCAGGTATTTTTTCACTTGGATTTTTCCGATTATTCGGTTGATAAATCTTCAGTTTAAACGTTGCAAGTGCCTTAAAGACCAATTATACACGTGTTTCTTATAGTATTTTTCTTATACCTGCAATATAATTTAAAAATAAGGGAAATAAAATAAAATCATTGACCTTACACCCGAATACATATCTAATTAAGTGGACTGTTTATTCTTAATTACATGATTGCTATGAAAATGTCACTTGACGTTTGTTTTAGGTCACAGTCTTTATAAATAAAATGCCTTCGGTTGAAAAAGATAATAACCGCCCATTCCATGGCTTGTTGCAAAAGCAGAATAAAAGTTGGTAGGTGCAAAATCCAAATCCAATAAAGAATATTATATAACATGAACAGTTGTTTTAAAGGTCCGATTTCGCACGCATTCGAGTGTTCAAAACGGAGATTGTGATTCAGATAATAGAAAACGGCCAGGTAAGATCTACAGCGAAATAGCAAGGAAGTTAAATAAGTACTTGGGAGGGGACATGAGTGACAATTCGCAGGAATGTAGTGCTACACAGTGCATGGAAATACAGGGTCAGTTCAAGGAGGAGGACTTTCGTTATACAGTTGCAAAATTATTTATTTATTTATACAAGGTGTACATCTTTGGTCATATCGAATCTTAGATATTTAAGGAAGGTGCCTTCATAGACATCAACCTATCACTGTAACGCTCCAAAACCGGCCTGACCTCGTCCTCTAAAAATTCAACCACCTGCTCGTCAGCTCTCCCAATGAAAGTGTTGGCATCTAAAATCTTATCCAAATGGTTTAAAATCGGAGCAAAATACCCGTCGTTTTTGATGCGCTCGATCAAATCGTTATCCTTGCCGTGCTGTTTCACCTCGGCGGCGGCTTCTTGCGAAAGAACGCGAATTTTCTCGTGGCAAACCTGTCGATCGCCGCCCTCCTTGACCATTGCCATGATGATGTTCTCGGAGCACATGAATGGGAGCTCCTGGAGGATGTGGCGGTGTATGACTTTGGGGTAAACGACGAGGCCGGAGGTGATGTTGAGGGCTGTGAGTAGAATGGCGTCAGCACTTAGGAAAGCTTCGGCGAGGGTGATGCGCCTGTTGGCCGAATCGTCTAGGGTTCGTTCTAGCCATTGCACCGCGTGCGTGTTGGCGGCATTGGAGTACAAGGCCATGAGGTGGCGCGCTAACGCGCAGCACCGTTCCGAGCGCATCGGATTGCGTTTGTAGGGCATGGCGGAGCTTCCGATTTGCGTCTTCTCGAAGGGTTCCTCGATCTCTTTCTTATGCGCCAGCAGCCTTAGATCGCTGCACATTTTGTGCACGGTTGCCCCCAGGCTCGATAGCGCGGCTATTACTTCAATGTCAACTTTGCGCGAATAGGTTTGGCCCGTCACCGGGTACGTCTGCCTAAAACCGGAGAGTTCGGCGACGCGCTTGTCGAGCGCCTTGACTTTGGCGGAATTTTCGTTGAACAACTGCATGAAAGAGGCTTGCGTTCCGGTCGTGCCCTTGGTACCTCGAAATCTAAGGTCGTCTCTAGCGCGCGAGATTGCGCGTTCGTCCATAAGAAAGTCTGCAATCCATAAGGTGGCCCTTTTGCCAACGGTCGTCATCTGCGCCGGCTGGAGGTGTGTATATCCAAGTGTTGGAAGAGATCTGTACGTAAAAGTTATAACGATGGGGTAGCCCTACTAGACGTCTTCTAGTATAAAAACAGTCACGTCAATCACGCAGGTAGACGCCCACTGCAAAACTTGTGTCTTTTTTTTCACATGGGCTAGATTAAGATGAAAATATAATAGAATAATTGACAACGAGCTGCGTGATTGACGTCTAGTAAGTCATTACACTCACTTGTATTCCTCTGAAAATAATGAAAGATTCCTAATCACACCAGCGAGCCGTGTGAGCAGGATGTCCAAGCCGTCCTTTAAAATCATTAGGTCGGTATTGTCCCCTACAAAGCAGGAGGTTGCGCCAAGATGTATGATGGGGGCTGCTTTGGGGCAGAGCTTCGCGAAAACGTGAACGTGGGCCATTACATCGTGCCTAGTTAAGGCTTCTTCGGCAGCTGCAGCTTCAAAATCAACGTTGTTTATGTTTGATTCCATTTCGGCAATCTGGTCATCGGTGATATGAAGACCCAATTCCTAAAATAAAATCCATATGATAAGTATTTCTTAAAAAACGGTTTTTCGAAAAGAAATAAATGACAATTTGGATACCTGCTGGTCAAAATACATGGATGGACGGCTATAGAATTAATTCACGAAATGAACAAGTAGCGATTTTAATATCTACTTATCAGTTCGATCAATTGTTAATGTATTAACAAGGTAAACTAAAAAAAATCAATATTGTTGTACAAACAACGTAATGTACCTAGACGTTATTTTTGTCTAACCAAAAATAATGACGGGACATCCTGTATATGAGAATATTTCAATTTATTAAGTAAATCTGGGGATTATTTATGAATTAAGCACGGAATTACTTTCATTTGAATTTGTTTCTCAGTCTAGTGTTTTTAGAAATTGTAAAAACGTAATTTTTAAATATTTAAATTTTATCACTCTTGTAATTTATTCATTAGAAATAAGACATCGGATGATTGCATAAGGAGGAGGCGAAAATTAAACACTTATCTACAGAGAGAAGAGGCAGACTAAGAGATCCTTGTTCTGGTCTTGATAAGCTAAAGAAATATGCAATTGACAGAGATACATTATATGAAGAAGTCGTCGAAAATAAAAAAAATACGGCCTTTTGAGCTCAGAAGGACGCTTTCTGCCTTATCTGTAACAACAGAAACAAACACACAAGAGGCACAGTGCGCTGCACAAAAATGTTACGGTATAGCAATGTTTAACGTTTTCAAAGCAGACCAAATTTGCTATAATTTAAGCCCACATCCGTTTGTATAGGTGTAATAGATTCCGAGATAATGCTTTTCAAAGATTGTCAATTTTTCGAATTCAAAAATCTTTCACAATACTTTATGGGTGACGTTTCTATTCTGTTTTACACAGATGCCAAGAATGGGCGGTATTACGCTGAAAAATAAAACGAATAATGAATTTTGTAAGGTGGTAGTTTCTGTTGCCAACTAAACTGTCGAACAATCATTAGCTGATAATGTCAAAGATCCAAGTGATTTAGTTCTGTTCAGTTCAGTGCTGTATATTTTTACTTTACAATAATTTGATGCCGTTTTTTATTTTCCCTGATTTTTTTCTGATCTAGAAATAGTGGAGGACGTATTGTGGAGAGATGTTACACAAAATATTGACAATCCAGCCACAAACCTTTCAAGTGAGGAAATGGACGATGCTCAACCGTGCTCGTCCAAGAAGGGAAAATATACTTCGATGGAAGTCAAACAAAATTTCTTTTTATAAAATGACTGTTTTGAAGTTTAATTAAGAATATCATTTACACCTCTCGTTTTCTTTTATAAAATTACAGAACAACAAAATAGTGCTAACAATTTTCGACTTTGAAAAAATCGATAAACTTTGAAAAACATTATCTCGTAAACTATTACGTCTATAGAAACGGTTGTAGCCTCAAATTGTAAACAATTTAGTCTACTTTCAAAACGTATTCATTAGTTATTGGCGAAAAACTGGTCCTTCAGGGTTAAAATCGTCAAAATCTGAACAGAAAACGAAAATTCCTCGTTAGTGTATTTGACTATGTTGCGTTCGCCGCTCGAGGTCGAAAACTTGAATTATACATTGGGTTAACAACATAAGCAATCCCACAAAAAATCAGAACTACCGGATTTGACGCATGGTCTGATGTATATAGTTACTGGACTACACATTCTATAAGAAAATTTTTTTTCCGGGTCGATCTGAGACAATTTTTTTTTCGGGCTCAAAAAAAGGCAGTGTATAACCTTCCTTTTTTACCAAAAATCGACTGCACCAAAATTTCTCGGGAAAACACTTTTTCTTATTAATTTTGGTGCGTAGAATCCAAAACAATTCGTACTTTTTCGATCAGACTTCTCAATCAAAAGTTATAGACTAGAAACCAATTTCGAAAGAAAATTCAAAGGGCTGTAACTTTTGAACTAGTAGCCCAATCTTGGAACTGTTTGAAATTATGGATTCTACAGGCCACATTCTATAAGAAAATTTTTTTCCGGGTCGATCTGAGACAATTTTTTTTTCGGGGCTCAAAAAAAGGCAGTGTATAACCTTCCTTTTTTACCAAAAATCGACTGCACCAAAATTTCTCGGGAAAACACTTTTTCTTATTAATTTTGGTGCGTAGAATCCAAAACAATTCGTACTTTTTCGATCAGACTTCTCAATCAAAAGTTATAGACTTAGAAACCAATTTCGAAAGAAAAATTCAAAGGGCTGTAACTTTTGAACTAGTAGCCCAATCTTGGAACTGTTTGAAATTATGGATTCTACAGGCCACATTCTATTAGAAAAATTTTTTTCCGGGTCGATCTGAGACAATTTTTTCTGAGGGCCTCAAAAAAAGGCAGTGTAATACCTTCCTTTTTACCAAAAATCGACTGCTCCAAAATTTCTCGGGAAAAACACTTTTTCTTATTAATTTTGGTGCGTAGAATCCAAAACAATTCGTACTTTTTCGATCAGACTTCTCAATCAAAAGTTATAGACTAGAAACCAATTTCGAAAGAAAATTCAAAGGGCTGTAACTTTTGAACTAGTAGCCCAATCTTGGAACTGTTTGAAATTATGGATTCTACAGGCCACATTCTATAAGAAAATTTTTTTTCCGGGTCGATCTGAGACAATTTTTTTTTCGGGGCTCAAAAAAAGGCAGTGTATAACCTTCCTTTTTTACCAAAAATCGACTGCACCAAAATTTCTCGGGAAAACACTTTTTCTTATTAATTTTGGTGCGTAGAATCCAAAACAATTCGTACTTTTTCGATCAGACTTCTCAATCAAAAGTTATAGACTAGAAACCAATTTCGAAAGAAAATTCAAAGGGCTGTAACTTTTGAACTAGTAGCCCAATCTTGGAACTGTTTGAAATTATGGATTCTACAGGCCACATTCTATTAGAAAATTTTTTTTCCGGGTCGATCTGAGACAATTTTCTTTTTCGGGGCTCAAAAAAAGGCAGTGTATAACCTTCCTTTTTTACCAAAAATCGACTGCACCAAAATTTCTGGGAAAACACTTTTTCTTATTAATTTTGGTGCGTAGAATCCAAAACAATTCGTACTTTTTCGATCAGACTTCTCAATCAAAAGTTATAGACTAGAAACCAATTTCGAAAGAAAATTCAAAGGGCTGTAACTTTTGAACTAGTAGCCCAATCTTGAAACTGTTTGAAATTATGGATTCTACAGGCCACATTCTATTAGAAAATTTTTTTTCCGGGTCGATCCGAGACAATTTCTTTTTCGAGGCTCAAAAAAAGGCAGTGTATAACCTTCCTTTTTTCCAAAAATCGACTGCACCAAAATTTCTCGGGAAAACACTTTTTCTTATTAATTTTGGCGCGTAGAATCCAAAACAATCCGTACTTTTTCGATCGGACTTCTCAATCAAAAGTTATCGACTAGAAACCAATTTCGAAATAAAATTCAAAGGGCTGTAACTTTTGAACTGGTAAATCTTGGAACTGTTTGAAATTATGGATTCTTAGTAAGGGAATTCCTACACAAATTCTAGGAGGGTTTCGGAGCAGATACCAGAAAAATTAAATAGATTTCAAAAAGGATTGTTTACGATTGTATTCTTTTTTAAGATGTCCATATTTGGTTTATAGGAAATTCTAAAATTTTACTAAATGCGGTCAAGAATGGCCCTTTAGAATTAGAAAAACTTAAATCATACAAAATTAATTCATTTTGAGTAATGGAGACTTTGTAAAGTTGGTTCCGAAAAACGTTTTGAAAATTCTCGTTTCTAAGAGGATTCGTCAAAAGGTTTTTAAGAAGATTTTTTGTAACATTTTTAGAAAGATAATCTACAAAAGAGATTTTTAATATTTGTAACAAGTCTCTTAAGATTTTAAAGAATGTGTCCGAAACCCATTATTGCAACTTTTAGTCAAATTTCTAGGCAGGTACCCACAATTACGTTATTCAGATACTTTCTTATAGAGAATTCGAATATGGCATCCCATTTCTTTCAAGATTATGGAGAAACACGTGGCAACTTTATTTTTCTTATGGACACCATTTTGGATTTTGACATTTTGAGATTACGTCTTTTTAGCGTAACACAACGAAGTTGAGGTAAAGCTTATGTGCTCGTGTTTCCGTCCGTCCGTCCGTCCGTCCGTCCGTTCCATCGAGATCTCGGACCCTGAGTCACCTAGAGACTTCGGGTTTTCGCTAATTGATAGCTGTTATGGTCTATATTTGCCCAATTCGATCAGTTTCATTTAACTCCATATTTTGCGCAGACTGCGCAATGCCAACTTTCATATTTATGGGGATATTTCTTTTAAATTTTAACCACAGACGCTTCTAGTAAAGATAAACATTTCGCGCATAGTAAAAATTATGTGGGCATGCGCAGTGACTGCGCAATGCCAACTTTCTTATTTATGGAGATATTGCTTTGACATTTTAACCACAGACGCTTCTAGTAAAGGCAAACATTTCGCACATAGTAAAAATAATGTGTGGGCATGCGCAGTGATGTGTGGGCATACTGCGCAATGCCAAATTTCTTATTTATGGAGATATTTCTTTGAAATTTTAACCACAGGCGCTTCTAGTAAAGGTAAACATTTTGCACATAGTAAAAATTATGTGGGCATACGCAGTGACTGCACAGGCTGCTCATAGCCAACTTTCTTATGTATGGTAATATTTCTTTGAAACTTTATTTTACTTATTTAACTCCTCTCTTTCTCTGAACGTGGACGTGCTTCAATATGCAGATTCGACATTTTGTGTGCTTTTGGTGACGATGCGTCGTTTCAATACTTTGTGTTACGCGGCAATACCCACGAGTGGGTTTTGGAACATTTTTTTTCTTTACAACGATGGTGATTTGGTATCACATTTTTCCTAAAAATACAATTTTTCATTTTTTGTGAAGAGTGCTTTGGAAAAACAAAACGTTATCTTTTGTGGTAGTGTCATCGCCATTTACGTTTGTGTTTTCTTTACAAAAATGCCTTGTAGGTATTTAGTTTTAATTGGAATTATAATTTTCTTGCAAAACCAAGGTTTAATTCTGTTCAGTTGAAAATCCAATTTTCTAAGCACAACTAGTTCCATGCCAATGCCGCAACAGTACAGATGGATCAAATGTCAAAATTTGATTCGAAACAAGAGGCCGTTTTGTTTATCCAAAGCACTCTTCGGAAAAAATGAGTAATTGAATTTTTTGAAAAATCTGATATTGAAACATCATGTATGATACATCGTTGTAAAAAGAAAAAAAGACATAATCTCAAAATATCAAAATAACACAATTGTAAATGATGAGTAATGGGCAAATACAGACCATAGCAGCTATCAATGAAAATCTGAAGTCTCTAGATGGCCCAGGGGCCGAGATCTCGATGGAACAGACCGACAGACAGACAGACTACGGAAAAGCGAGTACATAAGCGTTACCTCAACTTCGTTCTAATAAATAAAGTTGGCACGTCTTTCTCCGTCATCTTGAAAATAATTAAAACCGAGATGCCATATTCGAATTCTCCAAAAAAACAGTGTCTGAATAATGTAAATGTTTTTGTTTTTCTGCGATATTTTCAAAACTATCGAAGATGTTTTAATTTCATTTCGGATTATTATTCAGCACGAAAATTCGCAACTGCCCTTTTTATCTCTTAAGATAAGCGAGATTCCAATAGTAGCACTCGAAAAATGGACACCCTGTAAGTATGTCACTTTTAGGTCGGTTTTCTTTTTTACCTTTAAACTAGTAGCTGTCCTGATGATGACAGCTTTGCTGCCGAAACGAAATTTCCATTGTGGTTTCCTGGCATTTTCGTAATGACTCAGAAAACTATTAGACCAAATGAAGTAGTAGTGATGCATGATAACGTACCTATTTTTTAAATATAGATATGAATTATAAAGTAAACATACCAACGATATGACTATCAGTTTTATCACACAAAGATAAACCGACATACATACCAAAAATACAGGTGCGAATACACCTTCAGTAAATCATCGAGCAAAAACATCTCGTTTGTGCGGTAGTGAGCAAAAATGACGAATATTGCTACTGTGGGTAGTGTCGTACTCAAAATTGTGAAACTGGTAAGTTGAGCTTCTGCTATTACGAAAAGCTAGTTTAGGAATGTGGCTTTTTAACCCATCAACATGCTTGGAGTACTTTTGAGCTCAATGAGAACGGCGCCCTCAATGATAGGGTTGACAATTGTTTTTTTCTGGGATGACTATTGAACGAAAATTCGATAGGCTATGAAATTACATACGTTATCAGCTCTGATTCAGTGTGCCACTCCTTGAAATGGAATTTGTCTACATTGGAAACTATGTTTCAATAGTATTTCAGACCTAATTTTGACAGTATTGGAGTTTCAGGCAGAAATTGACGTTCTCGTTTAAGTATTTGAGGTCACTAGTCTTGGGAAGCGCAATTCTCAGTTTTATTGATGTTGTTCATAGATAACAATTCATTTCGTGATTCATTCGGTTCAGTTTACTCTCTAGCCTTTGATAGTGCTAAATCACAAGGTTTTGAATGAAGACCTTTTTAAAATCCAAGGCTTCAAGCCCTTTTCATAGTCAACGAATTTTAATTGAAATTGTTTTGCAGGTTTTGAATCTAATAATACTGATTCTGTACCGAACCGGCAACAATGGCCAATTCCTGGGAGTCGGAGGAACGTGGAATTTAAACGAAGAAAAAAACCCGGACACTGAAATCATAGCGTCGGGCGTATTTGTCGGATTCTTCATTTACACGACCGTATCCCTGGTTAGTCTCTGTTTCGCAACGGCCGATCACAAATAGTAAGTACCCAAAATTACCCTACCCCCTCTCCAATTTACGTCCCCCAAGCACTTTCACAGACATTGTCATGAACTTCTTGGGAATCTTCCTGTGGCTCGCCGTCGGCGCCACCGCGTTGCATTACTGGGAGGGATACCAAAGCGAACACAAGTATCGGTACACGTCGTCCGAGCAACAGGTACCATTTCGGTTTTTGACACCCAAAAAAAAAAAACTAATCCGAACGTATTTTAGGTTGGCCTGGCCGTGGGATCGCTTTGCGTCCTATCGGGAGCGACGTATCTTCTAGACACGGTACTGGCGGTACTTCATTTCATTAGAAGCAAGATGTAGTTGTCACTATTGCACTCGTATGTTCCTCATAATCGTAAATCAGTTACACTTACATTACAATTATGCACTTAGATTTAGAATACTTTTTTTGTAATATTTCCTCTAGAATATTTAAAATATTTTTAATAAATGAGTTGTGACTATTTAGGAAAGAGAATGGACCTCTGATTCTAACATAGTCCGGCGTGTTAGTACAAAAACAAAATGTAGTTTGGCGACGTTTTACTTAATTAAATCCCTTAGACAACTCACAACTATCATTTATATTCACTCCTGTTACAGTACCCCCTACATGTTTTTCCGTTCGTCCGCCGTCAAATTTTTTTATGTTAATGTTAAATTAGAGTTAATTAATTTAAATATTAGATTACTCATTACTCTGCTTTTGCATGGTCTTGTTCAAATATTTATGAGCAGCAAGTTCTACGGTACCTACCCTTAAAATATCAATTTTGCTTCAGCTTCAAAGACACGCATTGAGGACGGGCCCCGAGTTAAGGGGCCGCGGCAAAAATGTACAAAGGATTTAATTCGTTTACACAAAATTCTGAAAAAAAATGACTCCTTCAATCGTATGTTTCTTTTAATTATTTACATATTTTCCGTTACTAAAGGAAGCGATAAAACGTAAAACAAATGTTTTATTTACGAAGGGTCATTCACCTGCTTTTTTTACAGTTTACAATTACAGTCCGAAGAAAATTCATTGTTCACGGAGGGTAAATATAGGTGAAAAATCTGGAGCAATATCTGCAATTTACAAAAATTAACAATCCGAGGAAGTAACCCTTGAATTTGAATAATTTAAATCTGACTTTAATCTAATACAAGATTTGATATACTCAAATCAGATTTAAAGACAACTCCACTCCTTTCCCATTTGTGAAAAATAACAATCCGAAGTCTCTTACATAAAGTAAATGAAATAGTTTGTTAATTAGCGGGACCTTCTCCAATCCAGCAGGTATCTGGAGGTCCTGGATACGGTAACCTTAGATTGAAGTTGTATTTAGAGATGAATTCCGCTAAGTAATTTAAACACTCCAGCATTTACCTTTGCATGGACGAAACAGTTAAAGAAAATTTAAAATATAAATAAAATAAAAATAAAAATACATATAAAATATATAAATAATAAAAATAAAATAATATATCTAAAAAAAATAAATAAATATAAATTATTATATTATGGGAGCTTTCAACAATTCTTTCAAGCTAGAAGAGATTTTTTATTTACTTTGAATATTGTCATTGAAATTATTTGTGAAATGCGTTTTAAATTAAAATAAATAAATAATAATAAATAAATAAAAATGCTGATTCATACACAAGGGATTGAAGTCGCGAATCAAACTAAACGTGTTGAAACATCGAAGGAACCGGCCAATATTAAACAAATTAAAATAAGGATAACATTTAAAGGGAAACAATTAAATAACAAACAAATTCAAGGGTTAACTACCCCTAGTTACAAAAGCTGAAGTTAATACAAGTCACAATAAAACGAAGAGTTTACAATGAACCTGTGAACCAATGAATTACAAACTGCAAAATCAGTCGTGCGCATATATTATGAAGCACCCGGTATATTAAAAAAAAATAACATAACAGGGAGATATCTTGCAAAAACAAATTAAACAATTTATTTTTTAATTGCACGGTTGGCACGGATAAAAGATTTTCCTCTCCGGACATGGAAATTCGGACACCCTGTACAGTATACAGGGTGTTTCATAATTAAATGTCAAAATTTAAGGGGGCGATTTTTGGGTCCATTTTAAAAGGAACACTGCATATGAACCTATATCTGTAATAGCACTTTAGATATTTTAATGAAATTTGGCATGTATGTACTATGTATACAGAGGCATTTTTAAACGTACCGCATTTTTTTAATTTCCAGTAGTGGCGTCCGTACGGAATTTCATATTGTCTTATTAACGATATTGTCATGATCATGCAAAGAAACCTTCCTTTTTTACCAAAAATCGACTGCACCAAAATTTCTCGGGAAAACACTTTTTCTTATTAATTTTGGTACGTAGAATCCAAAACAATTCGTACTTTTTCGATTAGACTTCTCAATCAAAAGTTATAGACTAGAAACCAATTCCGAAAAAAAATTCAAAGGGCTGTAACTTTTGAAATAGTAACCCAATCTTGGAACTGTTTGAAATTATGGATTCTACAGGCCACATTCTATAAGAAAATTTTTTTCCGGGCCGATCTGAAACAATTTTTATTTCGGGGTTCAAAAAAAGGCAGTGTTTAACCTTCCTTTTTTACCAAAAATCGACTGCACCAAAATATCTCGGGAAAACAATTTTTCTTATTAATTTTGGTGCGTAGAATCCAAAACAATTCGTACTTTTTCGATTAGACTTCTGAATCAAAAGTTATAGACTAGAAACCAATTTCGAAAGAAAATTCAAAGGGCTGTAACTTTTGAAATAGTGGCCCAATCTTGGAACTGTTCGAAATTATGGAATCTACAGGCCACATTCTATAAGAAATTTTTTTTCCGGGTCGATCTGAGACAATTTTTTTTCGGGACTCAAAAAGGAACACTGCATATGGAACCTATATCTGTAATACCACTTTAGATATTTTATAGATAGATGTACTAGGCATTTTTAGACGTACCGCATTTTTTTAATTTCCAGCAGTGGCGTCCGTACGGAATTTCATATTAACTATATTGTCATGATCATGCAAAGAAACGGTTTTTATTTTTTTAAGCGAAAACCGTGCGCCGGATTGAAAAAAACAAAGGGATCAAATTTGCTTAGAAACGATTGGGGATTTCAAGAATAATTTTTATTTTCAGAGAAATCAGTGGCGTACCATCAATGTCTGCCAAAATAGGCATGTCAAATTCCACACGAACGCCACTGGTGGAAATTAAAAAAATTTGGTACGTAAAAAAATGCCTCTGGATCCATAGTACATACATACCAAATTTCATTAAAATATCTAAAGTGTTATTACAGATATTAATAACAAATGATTTATTTTTGAAAACTACCACCCTTATTACTCACCCTTAAATATTGACATTCAATTATGAAACACCCTGTATATTGTTCGTAATCATGACACAGATAAAAAGAATTTAAAATCTTCCTCCCAGCTGTCAAGAAAACATGTTTTGCTGTTTTCCCAACGAAATTCGTGACGAAGTTTTTTACTAGCTATGAAACAAGAGAGATTAACACACATTAGGTCTCGTTGCGTACCCCACAAGATTTGAATCATTGAAAATTTGAGGGTCATTATTGATTGGGAATTTCTGGGCACCACCGACGGATAGTCCCAGCTTTCCAACTACACCTACACCTACAGTCCAATCCAGTAGATTTCCAAAGATCTCCACCCCTTGGTTTCAAAATTTATAAGTAAAAAATTGCAAAAGCGATTATTTGACTTTCAATTTTGCGCGACGAAAACACAATTTAAATAAATTGATAATGCAAGTTTGGTCTAATAATGAGTAATAGAATCGTGCAGGAAACTCATCATCTGCATATTTGACGAATTTTAAATTCAGTACCTACACCTATTAGATTAATAAGTGAATCATATACCATTTATTAAAGAACAACAAAAACTTGCGTAGGCGCGTAATATTAATTAACTCCAACTAAGGGGTTAACTTTCTCAATTAAATCAGTCAAAGTGCAGCTTCTTCTCTTAACGTTTAGGTAGTAGGGCATCGGTGTTCGACGTAGACGCGACCAAAAGTTAATTAGTGAAAGTGGCTATCGGGGAGTCATATTACGACGTGCCCAAAAGAATCATGTCGGTCGATATCGAAAATGGAACGGAAGAGAGCGAGGAGCAGGAGAAGGAGCAGGAGGTCCGAAAGACTTGGAAGTCTCGGCTCGTTTACCATTGGCCCGTTGCGTTTAAAATATCGGAGCTGGTGAGTACCTCTTTGATTGGTCGGGAACTGATGTGCCCTTTTTAGATTTTGTCCGCGCTGTGTCTTGGTTTAATCTACGAGCCGGTGGATACGGTGGGAATGGGCAACACTCGTCTCCATCACATCGGGGTGATGTACACTGCGTACACTGGCTCCATGGTGATCATTTTTGGAATTCTTATCGGCCGCTGCTTACGAGACCAGCTGGGATACAGAACATCGTTTGTGTTTTCGTGCTCCAGTGCCGCCCTATTTTTAACAACGGGCGTACTTTTAACGGCCGACCGAGCGGAATTGACGAAGGACCACTTTTTCCATCCCTCCCGATATCTGCTCAACATGATGACGGCGGCTGTGGTGTTGACTTTTGTCAATTGCGTCGTGTTCGCCGCAGATGCCGTTGTCACCTTCATCAGGCGACAAGATTTTTAAGTTACCAACGTATTTAAGACTAGGTTAAGTTGTAAATTGATCACACGTTATCAGACAAATGCCGTCCAGTATATTTGTACAGAATCTTATTTAAAGCATTAACTGTATATAATCAATTAATACATAGCTACTAATGAATGAAGTTGTTTTATAACCGAGAGTTCCAAACAAAAGAGAGCTGCGAGGTGACTACAGAAGACCATTTCATACAAAAGCAAAATTTTGAGGTTTCAGGTCAAAAAGTTTTCCTTGTTTTGGACCATTGACTCTATTTTTGATTTCGGAAACCAATAAGAGCTTCCTGTCCATGTGAAAAGTGCTTTAAAAGCGTAGTAGAGGATGTATAAAGAAAGCGTATAAAGAGTGTGGAAAGGAGATGTAAAGAGGCGTGAAGGAAAATATTTTTCGCCCTAAGACTAGTAATTTTAGCGCATTTCCATCAGTACTTCTCGAAAGGCTATATGGACACTAGCAAAACACCAGCATTTTTTTGGTTAACGCATGCGCATACTTGATTTACACTATTACACTATATACGATATGTTTGTCTTTACTAGAGTCATCTATGGTAAAAATTTCAAGGAAATGTCTCCCTAAATACGAAAGTTGGCATTGGGAAGTCTGCGCATGCGCACATCTAATTTTTGCAATTTGCATTATGCCCCTCTTTACTAGAAACAGCTATAGTTAAAACTTCAAAAAATCTCTAGAAGTAATCAAGTTAACATTGCGCAATGCGCAGTCTAGACATGGGTACATTTGATTTTTGCTTCCATCAAATTTGAAAGAAATAATTAGCAATGCGCAGTGAGCAACGTACATCTGATTTTGACAATATGCGTTATGTTTGTCTTTACTAGCAGAATCTTCGGTTAAAATTTCAAAAACGAATATCAAGATTTTTCTTGGCTCAGGTGCCAGACCTATAAGCTACGGAATGCAAAAATAACGAACTAAATATCTTCAAAAATTGTAGGAGTAGTTAAGGCCTCGGACGGACGGAGAAAATGGCCACAGTAGCGCCTTGAAACATGAATTGGAAAATGTGCTAAAATGGCACCTGAGAATGAGGCGGGAAGACATGTAATTATAGAGGGACATCATGCGAAATCATATAAAAGGGGCGTAGGTGTGGTCAAAAAGACTATGAAAATGAACAAGCGTGAAAATAGTATGAAAGGAAGTGAAAGAGACGTGAAGAAACAAAGGTGATGAGAAAGGAAGCGCGAACAAAAGGTAAAAAAAAAGTGAGAATGAAAAACCCGTGAAGTATAGGTAAAGGAGTAGTGCAGCAAGGAAAGAAACGTAAAGGAGAAGTAATGAAGACGCCAATGTTGAAGTAAGTGTAAAGGAAGGATAAAGGGAAAGGCGCGAAAAAGAATAAAAGTTAAAAATTAACCGCATAGTAAATAAAGCGTATAGAGTGCATTAACGGTCCGAATAAAGGGTGAAGAAGGCCAGAAAACAACGGAAGGTCTGAAAGATTGAAGAGCAGAATTGGATTGGGTCACTGGGTCAACTGGGTTACCTGGGTCACTGAATTAAACTGGGTCGCTGGGTCACGTCATACTCTTTTCAGTTAGACCCAGTGACCCAGTTTGACCCAGTGACCCAACTTGACCCAGTTTGACCCAGCGACCAAATTCGACCCTGTAACCTAGTTTGATCGAAAAACGCAGTTAAGTCAGTGCCCTCGGTTCAAGTGTACAGATTTTGAAATAAATGAAATGCTGGTTTGTTGAAAATAATACTCGATTGCTTGACAACTGCCATTTCTGTGATGTTTGCTTTAATACTGCCGTAAAAAACTTTCCATGTCCCGAATTTTATTAGAATAATGTTATTTCTTTGCTTCAGGGCTTACCGGTTTGCTTACAGGTGTTCATTCACAATTAATTTTTTTCTACTAGTTAGCTTAATCCAAATAAATCTTTTCTCTAAATACTTTCATTGACTACTTGACTACAAACTATAAACAAATGCATTTGATTTTTTTAGGTATTAGTTCTCTTGAATGAAATTGGGCTACGTGCTTGTTGCCGAATATTATTGAGGAAGTTTTTTTTAAATTAAAAGTTTCTTGAAATTGTTTTGGATGATACCTAACAATAATTTAATTACTGGGTCACCGGATTCAACAAGGGGTCAACGGTTTAAACTGGGCCACCGGGTCAAGATGGGTCACTGAGTAAAGCTGGGTCAAGCTGGGTCACCGGGTCAAGCTGGGTAACTGGGTCAAGCTGGGTAACCGGGTCAACTGGGTCACCGGGTCACTGGGTCACCGGGTCAGTAAACTAACTGGGTCACTGGGTCACTCTATGCTTGACTCAGTCCAACTCTGTTGAAGAGAAGTGATTGAAGCGTGAAGGAAAGTAGCGCAAGGGAACAGTTAGTGAAAAAGACGTGAAAAGTGAATAAAGGAGAAGTGAAAATAATTAATGGAAGCGTAAAGGAGTTCTGAAAGAAGGAGAAGTTAAGATACGACTAATGGAAAAGGTTGAAGAAAATGGAAAGAAGCCTGAAGGAGTCGTGGAAAGGAGTAGTAGGTAAGGGAAGTGTAAAAGGCTAAAGGAGCGCGGCGAAAAGTTATATAAAGAAAAATGTGAAAAAAACAATGTAAAAGATTCGTAAAGAATGGCAGAAGCTTGACATAAGGAACGTAAAGCAGAAGTGAAAGATTTTGGCGTGGAAGAAAAAATATGGCGGTGTCAAGAAAAGGTGTAAACCCAGAATAATCAAAGTAAAACACGTTTTTGTAAATAAAAATTATGTGAAGAGGAAGAGAGCGCGACGGTGTTAGAAATTCGTAACGAAAAAACCTGAGTGCGTGAAGGGGTCAGAAGAATTAGAGACGAAAGCAAAAAGGCGGTGTAAAAAAGACACAAATTAAGATGAAAAATGAGGAGGAATGAAAATTGAGTGGTGGGGAAATAAAAAATGAATAGTGGAAGCTTGAAGGAGGCCTAGGCAAATGAAAAAGACGTGAGGAAATTGGAAGCGAAATGGACGAAAAATACGTAAAGAAGCTGCGTGAAGGAAATAAAAAGCGCTCGTGGAAAAAGCCAAAAAGAAGCGTTTTGGATGCTCGGAGAAGTGTAAAAGAGCATCACGAAGTGAAGAGTAAAGCATGGCGAGAGTAGCAAAAAGATTAAAAGAAAGATGTAACAGGATGAGGGATGACGATAAACTTGAATGATAGGAGTATAGAAAAGAAACGTAACGCGTAGAGTACGCTTGAAGGATACGTCAAAAAGCTTTTGGGTAATGAGAGGTGTAAAAGGAAAAGGCGTAGAGAAGTCGAATGAAAGTAAAAGCCGCAAGCACGAAAAACCGGTAACGAGAGGATAAGTACGCGTGAAGAAATGGTGGAAAAGACGTTTGGGGGGTGGGGGGGTCAAATAAGTGTAAAGAGAAGAGGTCCCAACGAAAGTGGTATGAAATAAAAGGAAGAAAAATTTGAAAAAAGAGAAAGTGACGAAAGGAAACGTGAAAGAGGGATGAAGAGAGACTGAAAGGAGGAGGGCTTTCAAATAATGAAGCGTATACAGAAGGAGAAGAGAGAAATGAAATGGGGATGGCAAACCTGTGATGTATGCGGAAAAAGGATCTATTAAAAAAAAGAGAAAACCTGAAATTCCAAAGGTAATTCACATACAGAAGGAGGGCCCAAATGGGGATTTTGGGATTTACTTGAGCGTCAGATTAAAGTAAGGTGGGTTGACTACGTGTTAAAAAGTGTGCGTTTCAATAATGGGAATGTCAAGAATAACACAAGTAACATAATCTCCCGATTTCCACACGCCCAAGTGGAACAAATCGTCAATAAAGTTAAGTGCTTTCTATCTCTTGATTTACAACTAGATTTCAGGGGGGCGTTTTAGGAAGGTATTCACAAAATCTTTAGGCATGTAGCTTAATGATTATTAAAAGATATTCAGAATGGGCCTTTAGAAGAAATCTTTAGAAAGTTTCCACGGTTCTTTTGCTATTCCCTAATTCTGCGCAAAGAGTTAGACCTGAAACTTCTCTCGGAGTATCCTTGAGAATGTAGTCAGTCGTCAGGTCGTCTAATTGTCAGCCATGACACATCCCTGGCAGGTGTCACACAATCAATCAAAATAAAAGTACCTAAATCCTGAACAACTTAATGCCGGATTATAGCGAAACGTTCAAGTCAATACGCGTATGGGAATTGGTAAGGTAAAAGCGCATCCTTTCAATACCTTCTCACCCCCGGTCTTTCAGATAGTATGCCTAATTTGCCTGGTGTTAAGTGCGGTGACTTTAAAAAATCTGCAGTTAAATGAGTCCCTGAAATTGTACCTAGTAATACTATCCGCAGTTTGCACCTGCTTAACATCCGCCGATCTAATCCTGACCCGGTGTCGCGAAATTCCGTGGACGTATGGGATTCCGCTGCTGCTACTCGCGTCCCTGATGTTTTTTCTCTGCGTCGGTTTCCATTTGTCGATAAGGAAAGTTGGCCCGTTCTTATACGAGTCGTCCTTAGTTGCGTACAGTTTAGCTGGATCACTTTTTTTATTCGACGTTATGGATACGATACGCAGAAACACAGTGGGAGGAAAAAGCTCACGTTATCCATATTTTTGATAAGTCTCACTGTAGGTATATTTTTAAAAAAACTTGTACAATTTGTGTTTTTTTAAGTTCTACAGTACCCATTATATCCTTTTATTATTACCGTGAAACTTTGTAGACCTTGAAATGCCGAAGACAGAGGCCGAAAACCGGAAATCAAAAGAGACGACATTTTTCATCAAAAATTGTAGTTTTTGAACATACGGTACCATTTAGGGTTGTAATTTTTCAGAATCTGAAGGTGTTTATGAAAGAATGCATATACAAAAATTGGGCACGAGCATTATACCTTTTTTAATTACGGGGCGATCCAAATCCAGTTGCCTATTATGTTTTGTGGTAGGTAATTGGAGAATTCCTACAGAAACTTCACACATCTACCCTTAAAATTAGAAGCAAGTAAGACAAATCTGCACATTTAGTGGAATTGTGATGAAATAGTCGTAAGCCTTGGAGGAATTAACAATCGTCCATATTCTGCGTATTTCAATTCTGTAGAGCATTGCTTTAATAAAATCGGTAGGTTAATCACCTAC